AATTGAAGTGGAAGTTATCTCTAGTGTAGGGAATTAAAACATCACTATATTAACCATTTTTTACAACGGTTATTCAATTTGGATATGAAACCTTATCAAAATGAATTATTAAATTAAATTCTAAGCCTGGATTAACATATGGCTTTTTATCTCACTTAACAGTTCCCGAAGCCGCTGGCGTGAAGCTAGTACAATATAACTGCAATATTTATTATCGAATGGAGCTGATCTGTTGACGTAGCCAGAAGGCAGTCATGGGACAAGCAATCCCATCGAGTTAAAGCTCTTTCGATTAGTTTTAAAAGGGATCGAGCTAATAATAATAATAAATTCATTTATTTAGCAACTAAGGCTCATTTGTTAGTAGATTACATATTGACTTAAAAACCTATGTTAGTAATTACAAATTTAATTTTAAAATATTAAGATGTTATTTCTTTAGCCATTCCTCATTTGGTCTCATAGTCACAAGTGAGAAATGCCTAAAGATCGGTGATTCGTGTTTACAACATAATACTTTCAGAATGCTGTTGGAGCTTTCCTGTATGTTTGTCAATAAGGATGCTGTTTTCTTTCGCATCATTGCAAAGAAATCGTCCGTTCGCGCTTCAGCGAACATGCTTGAGGCGCTGCAGGAACGTGGTAACCCCATCAGCACTCTGAAACCATTATTATACTGAACTCTGAACGAGTTTAATGCCGCTTGAGTATAGTTGGTCCAAAGCGCGCTCGTGTAGAAGGACTGACAGTAAGACTTGAAAAGTGTAACTTTGGCCAACTTACTACATCGAGCGAACCTCTGGGCCAACATATTACAACGAGCCGCCATGGCGCGTCGCTCCCTCTCAATGTCCACCTGATCCCTGAGGTCTTCGACAACGTAATGACCCAAATATTTAAATTGTTTCACCCTGTCAAGGGGAGTGCCGTTCAACTTGATGATTGGGTCATAAACCATTTTCTTACCTCTGACGCCAAAGATCAGGTACTCACTCTTTCTGTCATTATAGATAAGACCGTGACTGGTCGCATACTGTTCACACACTTTTAGAAGCTGTCTGATTGAGCCGGCCGTTGGACCCAGTAGCACCATGTCGTCCGCATAACTTATGTTATTGACAGTGACTCCGTCTATAGAACATCCAACTGTTTTATTGCTGAGCCCAACGATCAACTCATTCACATAAAGATTGAAAAGTCTGGGAGAGGTAATCCCTCCCTGCCTCACCCCACACTCCAATCCATAAGTGTCAGACATCTCTTCGTTCCACTTGACATTGTTGCGCTGATGAGCATACCAATATCGAAGAATATTCACGACTTCATTCGGCGTACCCACTTCCCGCAGCTTATTCCACAATATGTCATAAGCCACGAGATCAAACGCCTTCGATAGATCAAGGAAGCAGGCATATACTGGTGTTCCCCTCGCAATGTAGTATTGGACAGTCTGCTTAAGACATAATATCGCGCTTTCAGTGGATAGCTTGGGTCTGAACCCAAACTGCGCATCATGAAGTTGTATGTATTGATCAAGCTGCTGATCGAGCAGACAGTCCAACACCTTCGCCAGCACAGTCGCCAGTGAAATGGGACGATAATTAGACGCATCCGATAGATCTCCAAATTTGTTTTTAGCAATAGGAATCACCAATGTTCTCAACATATCATCCGGCAAATATAATAGGATCTGATGGTGGAATTGGAAGGAGGCCTTTGTAATTAAATAATGCTATTCTGCCGTGTTTGGGCTCATTTGATTTATCTTGGTAACATCTCTTGCCCAAAAAGAGCTTATTTAAAAAAGTAATTTTGAGTTAGTTCTAATCGAAATTAAAACCTGTTGTTGCCCTGGTCTGAAAACCAAACCTAGAATCTTGTTGGAGGCATTTTTGCTCGTGTGCGTTGATGACTAAAGAATAAATAAGATTTTGGTACTAAAAACATCAGTCTAATATTTGCTAATGGTATTTATTGCCTTCATGGATGAGGAAACCCATAAAAGTGATTCTACCTGCTATAACAAAGTAACATGGTTTTTTAATAAATATAATGTGCTAAAAAATAATCAGCACGGCTTTCAAAAAAATAAGTCGACTCCACTTGCGGCCTTTGACTTAATTAATGAAATATTACAAAGCATCAACAAAAGCAAATATACAACAGCTCTTTTCTTTGATATGTCAAAGGCATTCGATTTCGTTTCTCATGAACAACTACTAAAAAAACTATATAACAATGGTATCAGAGGTACAGCTTTAAATTGGATCAAAACATATTTACAAAATCCATATGTGGTATCGCTCCCGACGTCTCATGTAAGCAATGGTTTAAATTTCTCAGTGTTCTGCCTCTTCCTTGCTTATATATATTTAAAGCAGGAATATTAGAAATAAGAATAGGCTAGTCCTTGAGATAGTCCCAAAAAGCGCGCGATTCAAGAATAACTGCTACTGTATGTGTCAAACAATATTTTATAAGATTCCGGAATCTATAAAGAATACACCTCTTATAAGATTTAAGAAAGAGTTATATAACTGGCTTGCTGAGCGTTCCTTTTATACGTTGCATGAGTTCTTGGACTATAGAAACTGAACGTTAGCTTGGGGTGCATTGATCAGTGCTTATAGTATCTTCTTTTACTACATTTGCATGCTATTGCTAATGGCTGAATAGGCGATAATTGTATTACTTTTTACATCTATTTTATAGACCCTATTCAATCACAAATAAATTAAAAATATATAAAATAAATATTGTTGCACAGCGCAGATTAGATACTTATATGGATTAATTGGTGACTAATTGTTGATTTTAAAGCTATTCAAAAGGATATTAGTGTACAGGGGTAATATTATATAGTTACAATTTATTCATAAATGAAATTATAAAACGAGTTATCAGTAGATTCACATTATAAAGCTACTTTGGTGTTGACGTAGTGGACTTGATAAAACCAAATAAAAGGCATCTAAACATCAAAACAATTTATTTTCGTAAATATTCATTATATATATTTAAAATCATCGCTTGAAAACATTGACAGGGCGAGCAGGAGACAGTGGTGACAATTTATCTTTACATCTTTATAAAGTACTTATTTAATTATAATATGTTTAATACATGTACCTTATACAGAAAGTTTATTTTGGTTTATTGATTATTGTATTATTTACAATGTCGTTATTAAAATCTATATAATATGTACATTATAGGAAGACTACTGTAACAACAAGTTATAAATATGATTTATACACCGTAAACTACACAGTTATAATTTTTGAGTACAAATTTCTTAATTAAATCAGTGTCTTTGATATAATATTTTTTTAATACGTATGATAAACATTTATGTATGTATATTTAATATATTTTTCTTACTTACAATTAATTAATATTGAGATCTTCAGATTTGAGTAGTAAATACTGATATACATAAAAAATTATAAGTGTTGAAGGTATATGTATCATACAAAGCATGTACTCACCTATTCTTATCTATACATAGTATAAAACAAAGATGCTTCCCGCTGTCTGTACGCGTTGATGAATATGCAAAGTGATTTAAGAAGAAGTTTTTTTAGTAGGTATGTAGATATGTAATAAGTTTTATGTATCCTTTAACTAAGAAACTATTTTTTTTTTATATTAGGCCTAGTAGTTTCGGATATACAATATATGTTTCAGATAATAGGATAAATAGGGCGTTAATGGTAAATTTTCGACTACATATACGGCATTTATCTTACAGAGTAATATTAGTTTTACAATAACCACTTTCTTTCGATATGTTACGTTATATAGTTTGTAATATTTGAGACATTACTTCCGTGTTTATGTAGCATTAAAAGATTGGACATTAACGTTTTAACAAAGACAATGGATATTAAGAAAGAATAATAAAAATAAATAGTTTTATTCAAATAACAAAACTTTTTTACAAACCAACTAATTATGACGTTTTTGTTTGATAAGAAGAATGGGCGTAAGAACGTATCAGCTATTAACCCGGATAATTACAATTATAGTAATCATAAATATCTTTCAAGTGAGAATTAGTTTATTTATGTGTAAGCAATTCAATTTTTATTTACCAAACAGTTATTAAGATTTAGATACCTACCTAGTTTTTTATTATAAAGTAAATAAAAAATCATAGTATATTTTTGATGAAAATTGTTAAGGTCAAAAGTCACAAGGTTTTCTAACAAAACGTATAATATCTAACGTATTTGATTATCAAAATAAATAAGGTAGACTAATACGCTGACGATAAAATTATCAACAACCAACAATTGCTTTTGTATAATAAGCCTAATTTTATCAATGACAAGATTTCAGTCAAGCACTAGCGACGATTTTACTTATGTACATAATTATAGCTTTTCTCCACATGTCTTTCGGTAACAGTCATCTTAACCTAAAAATCTATACTTAACTATAATGTCACAACTGTCCAGGCTCAAGGCTACGCCCTGTCCATGCTTTTAAAAGTCAATGGCTAAATACTTACGTGTGTATTATAATTTACCTAATGATATTCGTTATACCAAAATTTTGTATTAATCGGATACAACACTATTTACATTACACATCACTATCTGTCTTTGCAGTATTTATTTACAATTTCAACTGTACAAATTTGTTATTTAAAAGTGTTTCAGATTCGTATTTGAGTTCGTGCAATAATTTTAATAGCGCAATGTACATTTATATTTTGTCCAAGAGAAAATTGAAGATGGTAGAAGCTTTTTATTACAATGCGATCATTTTACTTAAAAATTTAACGTTATCAATTAATACAGATTCTTTTAAGATATTCCTTAGTGGTACTAATTAAATAAATTATATTATTACATTAACTTCTAATATATCACTCGATTTTAAACGACTACCGGTTTCCTTTCTTTAAATTTACAAGGACAGCTTTTCTTTCTCAAACTATTATTGTTTTTGGCATTTTTGTATATTCCGTTATATGATTTGGTCGAATGTCGTTGCTATAATGTATCAGCTTTATCATTTGTTATGTTGACATTAATTATTTTATCATTAGGATTATTAATTTTGACGTTTTCAATGTTGGCTTGTTTGATTCTGTCGCTCGAATTGTTACTGATGGCTGTGATGTTATTACATTGGATGGGTTCATTATCTTCTTTCATATTTGGTTCTTCAGTTGTTTCTTTGGTATCCTGAAGTCCTGGCACGGTTTGTCCGTTGCTAAGTTTTTTAAAGTCAGCCGCTTCAGTTTGGGTTTCTTTGTCAGCGCATGGTGTTTCTGATACAACAAATAGATATGTAAACATAGAAATACAATAAGCCGGCTTATCTTTTATTTTGGAAAAAAAAACATTCAAAGTAAACAGACAAATAGTAAATCTTAGTTAATAATAAAACAATTTTATTAGGAAGAAGTTACGAGCTGGGGTTTGGCATAAAAATTAACGTCAATTAATTTCACAATCCGACTTTACATAATTTCAAACAAATATATTAGTTATCTTAAATGCATTCGTCGTAGCTACATTCACAGCAACAATTTACACTAGGCCCGTGTCCTTCCTATGTGATGAATCGATAGGTATAATACTGATACCGGAAGAAACCGGGCCCTCCTTGCAGGATATCAGGTTCTTCCTTTTTCGAGTGAGGTGAACCGCAGCGGGTTTTACCAGGTAGGGCTTCCACGTTAACCTGCCCTTTTAAGGGTGGAGTGGAAGAGGAGCCCTGGTTTAAGGCTTACGGTGCATTTCTTCTGCGTTAACAAAAAAGGTATAATAATGATGGGAACTCACTTTTATTCTGTATTGGCAGCAATGAGTGCTGGTGCGGCGGCTTACGGCTGTAACGCACGGGCATGATACTTTGCCGTACATTTCTCTCTGGCCGGATCAGGATAATGTAGAGCTGAAAATGCAGATGGCGTTCGAGATAAAAATTCCTGCACTACCGTTATCTCATTCTACATGAAATCATGTCAGTAATTTAGTTTTTTTTTTTGGATTAAAATATTTAAGGTGTAATATTATTACATACCAGGACATCGTGAGATGGATGAGTTAACTATACTGGCCAATTTTTGATATGGGACTAACATTGAATTCAAAATTGTTATACCTACAATCGACAACAGTATGAAACAGCTGATTATTTTTTCGTGAATTCAGTGTTGCTCCCATAGTAAAAGTTGGCTAGTATACTTAACCAATCCACCCCACGAAGCTCTGGCACAACTATATCACAACTTATCTACGTAGACGCGCGGTCGACATCTAATGCGGCTTGCTGACTGTGTATTTCAAACAAAGGCGAATTCCGTCTGCCAGTCAGAAGGATTCAAATAATGTGTCATCGGGATACCCACGAATCAAACTCAAAACTTATTTTACCGACTACCTAGTACATTGTGTTTTACATACACTTTATGGCTATTTTAACAAGACTAATAATAAATATTCGTATAACGTAATAGAGGCCCATAGGTGTGCAGCAGGCCTACCGTATATCTATTTGGGTGTCGATTTGGTTGACTCTGAATTTATTGAAATCGCGCTCAATTTTCAATACCCTATTGTTACAGCTAGGTCTGTGGGTTGATGGTATGGTCTAATAACTTTCATGTAGCTGTCATTGAATTTGTATCTTTAAGTTGTAGCTATCTGTAAGCTACTTGGCATTGATTTTGCTTGAACTATGAACTTCAACAAGGCAATTATATGGTACGATCAATGAGGAAGTATTTAAAAAAAAACATTAGTGGCCGAAATCTAACTAGATGTCGCCACGGTACGTTCTTGATTTCTCCATGGCAACCTTTCCGATTTTCTTTCATGTTTAAAAGTAAATTAGTTTTCAAAACTCAATAAACAACTCATATTCTATTTGTACTTTTTCGTATTTGTATTGATATCTAAGTTTCGAACTTTTCAAATTTCAGTTTTTTTAATATGTTAGTTAAAAGGAATGGAAATTACTGTCTTTGGTCCATTCGTTTCCTGCAAAAATCAACTTTTACAAGAGTGGAGGTGCATTTTTAGTGCTTTCTTTTTTTTTTAATACTTCCTCATTAGAAATTCATATTCTAGTTATTAATAATATCTCCCATAATACCTACCCCCTGGAGCAACTGTATTACTATGTATTATAATGATTTTATTTTGAATTTAGGATATTAGAGGTGTCACATCGAAAAATACCTATAATTCAGACGAATTACTGATAGCCTTTTCTATTTGCATAGAAATGAAAATTCCGAAAGTTTGGAATCGTTCTTTTAATGTTGTTATAATCATATCGGTTTATATTATCAGAGGCAGCGTCTGGTTCTACCTCAGTTTAATCATAAATTCAACGAAAACTGCGTTTCTTTAAAAAAAAAAAATGAGCTGGGACTGATAAGTATTTGAAATTGGACGAGCTGTTTTAGTTCATGACAGTACTTAATTACAGTTTTATACCATAGTTTTTATTTCTCTCTATTTATAATTTACCGATCAGGTAATGACATGGTTTTTGTGAATGTCATTACTCCTATTAGAGCTTGTGAGTTTCTTGCTCGTTCTTCTTGTCAGCCAAAAGACGTCCTGAACGAGCGGTAGGGGAAAATTTTGGACGATTCTTTTGGACGATTAAGAAGTCTATTTGAATAAAGATTATTTTAACTTAGACTCTGTATTAATAAATATTAACCGTATTCAAAGTGTCATTTAGTATTAGTTTATAGCAAATGTTGCGCACAATTGTAATTGGGCATAGATATCACTAAATATTAATGTAATGTAAGATCTGTTATCTATTTGTATGTGTGCTAATCTGTTGTCTGTAATTGTGCCTTAATAATAAAAATAAAATTTTGATAAAAGACGAAATTTCGTTATCGGTGAAATAGAATAGTTCTTCAGATGTCATATTAATTTGTACGAGTAACGTTATGCCTTAATAATAAAAATAAAATTTAGATAAAAGACGAAATTTCGTTATCGGTGAAATAGAATAGTCCTTCGGATGTCAAATTAATTTAAGTGTAAACTCAATGTTAAAGTATCAGAATGAAATTGTAGCAAAATCTTATTTGTTCATTAATTTTGTATTTAAACAGCACAAAGTATCAAAATCATACCAGATACTAAGAATATACATTTATCTTATCATCAGAACACTTGTATCTTACAGATTAGATTGCGTGCGTTTGCATTTGCGGTGCTCTACAATACATTTTTATAATATTTATGCATTACTGATAAACATAATTTCAACCGCAATAATGAAAAAAAAAACAATGTTCTGAAGTAAAACGCAAATAAATCTTGTTTGTTGTATGGGAGCTCACCTTAAAACTTTTATTTTATTCTGTTTCGTAGTTTTTGATACAGCAGATAAATCAACTGTGAATACTTCAATTGTCTAGGTATCACGGTTCTCGAGATATAGCCCGGTTACAGACAACGGAGTCACAGCATCAGGGTCCTGTTTTTACCCTTTGGGAATGGAACGCTAAAAAATCAATATCACAGAGTAGCAATAAACGAGCTAGAGATTACCTTGGGCGAGAAGAGGCAGACGAGAGTGACGCTGGCGCTGAGCGAGATGGTGACCGCCATGCTGGTGACGCGCAGCGGCACGTGGCTCGCCGTGCCGAAGTACAGCGGCACGAACGCGAGCCAGATCACACACGTCGTGTACATCGTGAACCCTGCACGAGATGCTCATCTTTAACCTTTTTTACGTCAAGGAAATGCATGAGGCACTACCCCTGCGCCTGGCAAGCGACCAAGGGCGCGTGTGGGACTCTCCTTCGCGAACCCACTCTGTGGATAGCTGCGAGGTGTGTTCCCGGAACTACTCATAGAAACCCCTGCGGTGTATCCTCCCCTGGTGATGAGACGGGGCAGCCGTGACCGAATCTCCAGGACATTGATTACGGCCATTTTTATACCTCATATGGGTTATTACAAGCTGTTAATCGTTTATTTAAAGGGTAATACATTTTGCAGCCTCTTTACTATCATATAAGTAAATCATACCATGAGCACGCACCGTTGCAATTGCAATGCGAAATGATAAAGAAACAAGTAGATTCACTTCCATTATATAAGGTGTAATATTATTATGTTTCATGGTAAAAGTTGTTCAATATAATTAACTAATCTAACCCTACGAAGTCATGGCTCATAATATTACTACACTTTATATACATATCTATCAATTAATAAAGTAGACACACCGCGATTTATCTTTATATTAACCCGTTCAAAGGTTTTGCTTTAAACTTTGACCCTCTTTCTGTTACGAAAATTGTACGAACGGTGGAGTTTGTAATTTGATTCAGTTAAGCCCAATTTTCATTACGAAACCAGTAGCATGGAATTAGTTTAATTGCATTAATTTTACAAATTGCTTAATGCACTTACGACAATGAAACAGTTTCGTCTCATACGCATATTTTTAGAATGAAAATGAAATTAAGGCGTCTGGATAGAGCCGTACATAGGTAGGCTTTTTCATTGCGTGTCCGACCAAAATAAACTATGTCCGGCTTGTCCGGATTTTGTTAGGCTTTTAACATTTTGTAAAAGAGCGAGCTCAGAGTGTGGCCGAGCATAGGCTACGAGTTGAAAGATTTTTTTTTAATTTTTTTGTCGTACCTATTAATAATACTAGAACATAAAATCCGCATAATATAACATAGCGTGTCTGTCTTTACACGCTATGTTATATTATGTGTCACGTGAGTGATTGTTTTCGCGGGTTAAATTAAATTAATGGATAAAAACTTGTTCTTTTTTATTTAATAACAATTTTGGAAAAAATTAAAGTCATAATTATTATATTTGATCAATTTTGCATACACAATGCTATACTGGAAAATATTCTTAATGAAAAATGCTTAAAGATCCACTCTGTCCCTGGTACATTATCAGTACTTTATTTTCATTATTATCGAAAGTTTAAAATATTTCTTTCCGCTGTTTGGGTGGATTGCCTAAACGTTGATGAAAATACATTATGTGTTAGCGAAAATAGGTTCTGGGTATCGCCTTGTTCTCGAAAGGATGTGAGTTCGAATCCCATCTCAGACTACCAGGGACAAAGTGATAATGCCATAATTTAATATGATCATAATGAATGTTTTAAATAAATTTTCCCAAATCAATCAAGTAGCCAATTGTAATGTTTCCGCAATAAAGGTCTCTAGAAAGTTTGCTAATTTGTATCAAGTAAATAAAAATTTTGTAGCTTAGCTCGGTTATTGGTCACGGGCTGGATGACCAAAAAATTATTATGTTAAGCTTCGTAAGGCATGTTAACTTGCTGGCCCCGGCTAAATTTTCAGTCGTTAATACCATCCAATTCGCATTGGGCTAGCGCGCAGAGTAAGTAAGTGGAGGGTTATGGTCCATCCTCCTTAACTATCCACAAGGAAGGTCTGAGCCTTTACAGTGAGGACGTAAAATGACCGATGATGAAACATAATTATATGATACCAACCGATATGCTTGCTCTCATTGAAAGCCTCTGGTATTTTCCTGGTGAGGACGGCGTAAACTGTGCACACGAGTATGAGGACGATGGGGTAAAAGAAGGCGATCATGTAGGACGCGTCCACGTACGAGTCGCACACCAACATGTTGTCCTCTCTGGTGGGATAGTGGAACATGGCGCGTGCAGGGGCCACTATCATCCACACCACCACTATTAGCACCTGCGGAATAAAGCTCACACGATAACTGATGTGTAGCCTTTTTGTGAGAGATTATATAGTACTAGCTGACCCGACAAAATTTGTTTTGCCCTATAAAAGGGGGAGATCAACCCCCTTTAACTTAAACAAAAAAACAAAAATAGAAAATGACCTATTCTCAGATCTACTGAATATACATATAATATAACATTTATTTAAAGGTAACTAAAACTGTAACTCACGAATATTAAATATTAGATGGGCAAAGTGATTAGCCGGGTACTATAATAAAGACGACAAAAATATTTGACATGATTTAAGTTTTAATGTTTCCTAATAATGAGTCTCTTCTGTAGAATCAACTGATATCTTTCCCTGTTTGTTAATATCTCTGCACACCGTTGAATATCTACTCTTGTGTTTAATGTATTTTTAGCAGATTGCCCGGACAACACATATCACTATTCATAACGCCCGGGTAATGTTCAAGACAAATTTATGATTGTGCCCGAAACATATTGTCATTATCAATAATGCCCTAATTAACACTTGGACTATAACACATATGCGATAACTAACACCCGGTTTCTGAATTGAGTCTCAAACCGTACTTAAGCCATTTTCAACGTCACTTAAACAGGTTTTTGTTTAGGATTTTTTTTTATAATCAGTTGATAGTAGTTTGATTGAAAAATTGATTGTAAGTTATTAAAAATATTCAGTTGAGATTTTATACTTTTCTCAATTCAGAAACCGGCCGATACTCGTAAGTAGGTAATAACATTTGGAAATGAGATAGAAATGGCGTTCGATTTTAATTTCTGTCCCTTGCTACTGAGTTACTACTAAGAAGTTTCTGTCATTTTTTCAGTGTCTGCCGCCCCTGGACGCTTTCATTTTTAATTTGATTCTTCTTTCTTTTATTTTTATAATTTTATTATTACTAAGTTTTACTATTTATCTGGGTCATTAACCGACGATGTGTATGTAACAGTGACAAGGACGACAGAATCTATGTCACTGTCGCCATTATTCGAGCAAAAAAATCTTTAAATATTACTGATAATCAAGGATAAAAATATTGTCAAGTATTAGTTTTGTATCCTTCTATTTCGATGACCACTAAATGGTGTTGTGAGCGACCTAAATTACATTTTATTAAGTTATGTTAAAACACAACTTTAACCGATATACCATATATTTTATAAAACTGATTTTTACACATAAACTTTCACAACAATCTTTAGTACTCAATTGCCGCCCAAAATCATTTCATCATCCGTCAATGTCAACTTCAAAGTTGACATTGACGGATGGACGACCCACTGACAGATAGTGCTTCCCCTAATACAATTAGTTGGGTTGGTTTGGATTTTTTTTATTTTGTATTCAATTGCTATTACATAGTTGTCATAAAATGGGCTTTTTAAGTTCTCATTTCAAAGACACGAATTTTAGGTAGTTATCTAATACCCAAATTTAATTTTCTTTTGTCATTTCCATTTTCAAGAACGAAAACATTCGTCAAGGTACATATTTTATCTTGTCCTATTTTTAAATATTATATCAAACTTTACGACGTCTGATTTATCTTTCATTCGTATTCACATAGATAATTAATTTGAGGAAAATGTTTCCGTACATGAAACCCAATACGCAAGTTAAATAACAATATCATTAACAGCATTACAATTCAAGTAAAATTTACGAAATCATTCAAACATAATTGGGATATAAATTTGAACAAACGATATACTTTGTTTCCTCGAAAAACTCCTGCATGTTGTATTTTATTTGCAAAATTGTAGTTTTGTAAATCACATAGATATTCGTAGATATCGCACATCAATTAGGCTATTCTGTAATAAAAGCGCCTCAAAGTTGCCATTGAAAGCAGCGCATTTCATAACAACAGCTTAAAGGTTATTAAGGTCTTATTTCTTTGAAACTCCATGACGTGACAGAGCGGCGCACGACGTCGAGAGCGAGGCTGTTTTTTTTAACAGAATCGCAGACGAAACTTTCTATTTGTTTTAAAACTTTAATACGTTGCTAATACTGTTCGTATTTTGATTGATTTATTAGTATTTGAACTTTAAAAAGCAGTAGACGTTATGTTGCAGCGCTACATTTTTATTTCTTTATTTTAATTACTGTATAACTACCTAGTAAACTACCTAGCATAAGCAACCCAAATAAATGAGTAATATAAAATGATATATAAATATCTTTAATTTTAAATCTAGTTACATTATAAGTGCATGTCACATGGTTGTAGTATGTTATATGTCGCTTTTCTGAGAAATCGTACGTCACTGGACAGTTATCACACACTTTGTACTGATAAAATTTATAGATAATATTTTAAATATCTTCATTGTAGTATTATCAAACATAAAACGATACGTTGTAAAACATACCACAGAATGTTTATTATTTTGTAAACAATGAGACATAAAAAATAACGATAATAGCACTTGCCATTTGTTTTGCTTAGAGGAGATTATAGTTTTCGTTTCTATAGTACAAGAGATAATTTTATAATATATTTCGTATGTCAAACTGATCAAAAGGCCCTAAATCAAATCACTAATATTCGATTGAATTTGAATGAAATGTTAAAACTGCATCGTATTTTTATAGATATGTTACGCTCAAAGATCGAAAACGCTCAGTGAGCGGAAAAATAGCTCACAACGCGTTGTGGTCACAGTAAAACATCCACATGGCGAAATTCGTGTTATGGCTCTAATGAAAACGCGCACGACGCGTTGTGGCAATCACAGAAAGACCAAATAGCGAAAATTCGTGTCGTGGCTGACATGCTATTCGATCTCAACGCGTTGTGGCAATGAAGAAAAGCCATGATGCGTTCTGAGCATTCATTGTTTTAACCATATCACGACGGACAGGTTGTAACGAACTTCGTCGTTAACACTCCGCTCAGCATCTATGTTATCATCTGGAAGTAAGCAAGGGTTTATAATGTGCCACTGCAAAGATACTGTATTGATAAAAAGTGCAAGTGTCGCTCCAAGAATATAAAATGCAACTCCAAATGCCACAGTAATAGTTCCTGTAAAAATAAATAGCAATCAAATACTTATTTAAGTACATTATTGTTGTTTATTGGTGGACAATAAACATTTATGTTTGTGTTAAATATTTTTATTACTTGAAAGAATTTAAATTGTCATAAAAAATTAAAATCCCTAATTATTTTAAGTGAATTGTAAGAAATTTCCAAATAATTAACATTTCGTGTTAAGTAATTTATTACTTAATATTAATACGTTGATTTTTTTAATATAAAGTAATCTCAATAAACAACAAATATTGTTTTATTTTAATTTATATAATATTGGGTTGGCACAAAAGTAATGAGACACACTAGAGAAATCTATAACATTTCCTTTTTAAAATCAATTTTTCGATAATATTATAGAATGTTGTAGAACGTTCTAGGTACTTCTGGTGTAGGGTATATAAAGCCGCGCTCGCGATTTGTTTAGTCAGTTTGAAGAAAAATGGATGAGCGACAAGTTCGAACACTATACTTATACGAGTACTTGTTAGGCGACAGTGCGCGGGCTGCGGCTGACAATATCAACAATGCATTAGGCGCTGGAAGTACAAGCCATGCGACGGTGTCCCGATGGTTTGACCGTGTTAAATCAGGAGACAGGAGCCTTGAAAGTCAGCCACGCTCAGGGCGACCACCCGCAGTGAATGATGACGATTTGCGCCGCGAACTGCAGTTGAATCCGGATGCTACCACTCGTGAATTAGCGGAAGCACTTAAATGCAGTCACCACGCCGTGGAACATCATCTGCTGAGCTTGGTTATCGAAAAGTTTTGGCTCGGTGAGTACCGCACATCCTTACAGACGCCAGTCGTGCAGTCCGTGACGCTATCTGTCAGTCACTTTTGCTGCGACCCCGACGTAAAGAGTTTTTGTCAGATCTGGTTACTGAAGATGAATCATGGATTTATTACGAGAACGATACACGTCGTGCTTTTTGGCTGCCTCGAGAAGAAACGCCACCAACTCAACCGAAGCCGAGTCAAAAGAACCGCCGAAAAATTCTGCTTTGTTGTTTCTGGGATGCGCAAGGCATACTGTTTTATGAGCTATTACACAATGAAACTATAAACGCTGACAAATATTCAACCCAGCTTACCAAATTATCTGCCGCTATCAAGAAAAAACGACGAAGACGAGTCAATGTAGTTTTACTGCACGATAACGCTCGACCTCACGTCGCATCTGTGGTTCGCGGGCAGTCGGAGAACTTGGGCTGGGAGACGATACCACACCCACCTTATTCCCCAGACCTCGCCCCATCAGACTATCATTTGTTTAGAGCCCTGAAACAGCATTTGCGGGGTAAACAATTTAATGATTTCTCTGACGTAGAGGCGGAGTTGAACAACTTTTTCGAGGCACAGCCATCAGAGTTCTGGGAAAAAGGCATCCAATCTTTGCCGGATCGTTGGCAAGAAGTCTTAGATACTAATGGTAATTACATCATTGACTAAACCTTTTTTATTGTAATAATAATAAAAAAGTAAAAACTTAAACCAAGTGTCTCATTACTTTTGTGCCAACCCGATATATTTCATAATAACAAACACGTTATGCAGTGATTTTATAAAATAAAAAATTTCCTAAGGACATCTACCAAAACGTTTCCAGCCTAGGCCTAGTAGGATCCATATCGGAAAGTAGGTTGTGCGTCGTAATCAAATAATATTCCATACGCGTGATGGCTTTTCTTCATTGCCACAACGCGTTGAGATCGAATAGCATGTCAGCCACGACACGAATTTCGCTATTTGGTCTTTCTGTGATTGCCACAACGCGTCGTGCGCGTTTTCATTAAAGCCATAACACGAATTTCGCCATGTGGATGTTTTACTGTGACCACAACGCGTTGTGAGCTATTTTTCCGCTCACTGAGCGTTTTCGATCTTTGAGCGTAACAGATATATCTAAGGGTAATCATTGTTGACTCAGAATGTTATACATTATTCTATTTTTTATTTATTCTATTGAGGCGTATAGTTTCAAACTCTGCAAAGTCCGGGCGCCTCAAATTTTCAGGAGAGGTTTTTTGTTAACATCTCTTTAGAAAATTACTCCGCAAAGCGTGCTTTTAGATTTGTCAAGCATTAGTTACCGTCAGATAAATACCCTCCGTGAATGAGTACGGAGGGCTGTAGATGTAAAAGAGAGAGAAAAGTTGGACTTTGGAAAATTTGAACCTGAAGATCGGACATTGCTGTTTTTGTTATGACAATAATAATACTTTTCTAATAATATTGTATAGATTAGACCGGAATGTCTATTTTATACTATCCATCATGCACTCATCTCTTTAATTTCTGATGGTTTCGCTTCCATTTTTGCGGACTACTGTCGGAGTCTTGAGTCTTGTCCATCTTTTGAAATTATGTAAATTAACTAATGAATTATTGCGTTAACCTTTTTTAAAAAACCCTTTTTTTTATCAACACACTGAGAATTTTGACACGTGACCGAAATAGCGGCATCTTATTGGCTGAAAAGAAGTACTATGGACTTTGTTGATTTTGCTTCAACTGTTAACTTTCTGCATGTAGCGTGAGATTTATGTAGTTGGTTTTCAAATATTTGAGTTTTAGAAGATTTCAGAAAAAACAAAGTTGCCATTGAAAAATACTTTGCGGAGTTTGAATATCGTTTATTTATACTCATATCATAGGGAAAATTGATAAATATGTCTCTTGTATGAATATACGTGACGGGTCACTGAAGAAAACAGAAATTAGAGCTTGTTTTTTTTTGTTGTGTGACATTTTTTTGATATTATCGTATAAAATACAGTTAAGTTAGGAGTTACAACTGTGATTAGACAATATCTAAGTTCTTCTTTCAGTATCTTGTTCAATACAGTCTCGGCTACAAGTAACTTTGTAACCGATAGTTAGATTAGAGAAAATATTGAAATTTGTAACATGGTTTTTGGCGCTCTATTTCGCGTATAACGCTCTCTATCGCATTAATTGGTCAGGTGTTTTCATTTTTCTTTTCCTTGTCCATCTAGACTCGATTAAACTAATGTTAGCAGTATATACATAACAACCAGTACCTGGATAGACACCAAGGCAGCACAAATGGCCAGTTGTGAACTCGGCGAGATCAGTATTGGTCTCTTCGCGGAGTGTTTGCTCGCGTTGAAGATTCTTGATATCCTATTAGTTTTGGTCAAGAGGGCAGCATAGACCACTGTGAAACAGAAGCCTGTGCCGAACCTGTAAATAAATATTATATAACATCACATATATTGTTCTCATTATAATATGTTGTTGTAATTTTACATTGTCATCATGCTTATCCATTAATCATCTTAGCTTAGCATATTTTTTAAGACTCTAAGTACCTATAATATAAGTCCTTTCGAATAAATCAAGCGTTTATCTTACCACTAGCTTTTGCGCGCGACTTTGTTCGCGTGGTAAAGTTACTTTGAGCAGCTTTCTAACGAATATTTATTAATTATATCGTGTAAAATAACTGAAAGTAAACTAAAGTTTCATCCCTTATTTTATCCACTATCCATTCATCCAGGGGTGGAATTTATCAAAATCCTTTCTTAGGGGATGCCTACATCATAGTAGCTTTTTGCATGCAAAGTCTTAGCTCGATCGGTTTAAAATTGACTAAGTTTCATAAAAAATTTCATCCCCAATTTTATCCCCTTGAGGGTAGAATTGATCAAAATCCTTTCTTAGAGGATTCCTACGTCGTAGTAGCTTTATGCATGCAAAGTCTCAGCCCGATCGGTTTAAAATTGACAAAGTTTCATACAAACTTTCATCTCCTATATATCGCACACCTAGATCTAAACTAAGACAACTCAAAAAACTAATGTGGAGGTCTGACAATACATTTGTTTACGTGGCAGGAGCGCGACCACTGTTGATTCAACAAAAGAAAGCTTAAGTTATCTAGCGGCTCATCCCCTAACTTTTGTTGAATCTGTTATGTTGGATAGATGCGTATGATCACAGAGAATTTGAATATTGTACTAAGTTAAAACTCAATCAAATTTTTGAGTTGTCTCAGTTTAGATCTAGGTGTGCGATATATTTAGATAGATTGATAATTAAATCTGGCAGAATATGGTTCACATATTTTAACAATTGTTTGTGTGTTAAAGATTCTACTCGTTTTGATAGAACAACTGGTTTGCTTAAAACTGTGTTAATAGATATATATTATATAAATAGGACTCAATAGTGTTATTGGTGCTTTAAATAAGTTAATATGATTTTACTTGCGTTATAAATGTTAATAGAAAGAACGACATGGATAAGATAAAAAATCATTCGGGGAAATAGATATTTCTGGATTCAATTGAATATAGTTTATTTTGGTGATATTGCTTCTTAAATCATAATCGAAAGCAAGGTATCAAAACTATAATAGTATATTCGGCCGTATGCCGAATACCGAATATTTGGCTAGCTTCCTGTTCTAATACCCGAATATTAGGCATAAGTATTCGGCCTGTATATGGCGCCAAAATTTTTATCCATTGAAAAAATGCAGTTGCGAGAAATACAAATCTTTTTTAAGTTGATATTAATAACATATCATGGCATGACAATCTGTATACGTGGTGGCAAACAAGAGAAAAAAAACATACCGACTACTAACCAAATATTCGTTGCAAGTATAATCAAAACTATTTAGGTAACCCTCTTGCTATAACATTATTTTGATGCTTATATTAATGTTCATATACTTCCTACCTACATTTCAGAAACATCATAATATTTAGAAGGAATGTCCACATTAATATAGTCGTGACCCCAATTCAATTCATCTACTTAGATCACAGGTTGTAATGATGCAAAGTCATAGAAAAAATGTATAGTGGAACAGATTGAGCGAATATATCAGAAACAATAACATTATTAATAAATGTCAACACGGGTTTCAAAAAGGTAGGAGTACAAGCACATTGTTGTCTAAGTTTAATGACGAAATTAACAATTATCTTAATGAGAAAAAAAATAGTGGTCAGTGTCTTTTTTGACTATAAAAAAGCGTTTCCGATACCCTTGAAACAGAGCCATTGTTGAATGCAATGGAGGAGTGTGGAGTGGGTTGGCCATTGAATAATTGGTTCCGTGACTACCTCACTTCGCGCTCTTTCCGTGTCAGGCTGGGCGAGGTATATAGTGACAAAAAAGAAGTGCAATGTGGTGTGACACAAGGGTCCGGGTGCGGTCCTATCTGCTTTTTAATGCATGTAAATAGCCTGAGCGGTGTACTTCGCCACACCTCCGCATATATGTACGCAGATGACCTATGCGTGTTGCGCGCGGGCACTGACCTCACAGAAACCTACCGCCTAGTCCAAAATGACGTAGACGAAATAGTCAAGTGGTCTCATGACAATGGGATTGTGCTTAATGCTGACAAAACGAAACTACTAGTAATACACTCTCCTTATATAGAATTACCTGATATGTCTCACTCAATTGTCGCTCATAGTTATGATTGTTGTCATAATGGTCTAGTCGCTTGTTATTGTAAGCCAATAGAAAGGGTTAAAGTTATTACTTATCTTGGATTGGTGGTGGATGAGCATTTTTCGTGGTCAAATCATGTAAGCCATATTTGTTCTAAACTTAGAATATTGTTATCCAAATTTTACTATTTAAGTTATAAAGTTCCCTCAAATACATTAAAATGTTTATATATGTCTCTAGTCGATTCCATATTGGGGTACGCAATCGACACATATGGTCTTACATTTTATACTAATATACAGAAACTAGAATCATTACAATTGCGCTTTTTGAAACTACTCGTTAATAAAAAAACTAAGAATAGCTGTAAGGGAGATTATAAAAAGTTATTTCAAATTTGTAAAATTCTCCCAGTTAGTTTAAAACTTAAATATATACTTGCCATAAATAACCATAGTAGTCGGGAGCGTCACCCATTGATCTCGCATAAACATAATACTAGAGCAATTGCAGTAGGTAAATATGTAGTTCCCAGAGTTAACAATTATTATGGTGATAGAACTCTAAACAAAAGAGTCCCATATATATTAAATAGCTTACCTGACAATATTAGGCATGAAAGTAACCTAAAAATATTTTCCAACCTACTAAAGAACTATTTAATGAATAGCCTGTAACACATGTTGTACTTAACATGTATGTAAATGAATAAATTATACTAATCAAGTAGCATTACATGTAACTCAAAACGAGACTCATAGCCCAACCACAGTCAAACTGTTAATATAGTTTTGTGGGACCTAAGCGACGATTCGAGGGGGAGGGAGGATTCCCCCCGGCAGAGGAGGCCAGACGGCCGGGGGTCAGGGCGACAAAGAGAGAAAACGGCGGACGATCCTTGCGTTATCGAGCAAGATCGCCCGCTGGAGCCTCGCAATCATTGGTCCGTCACGGAGTCCCAACCTCTTCAGATGGTCGTGAAGAGAAGTCGGGACTAGGCCATTCGTTGACACTACGACTGGGATGATCTCAGTGGATGACACTCGCCACATATCGGTAACCTCGTGCGCCAGGTTCAGATATTTAAGTTTTTTATCTGATTCGGCTTTCACGAGGTTTTCATCGAATGGGACGGTGACATCCACTAAGAACACCCGAGATTCCGCCCGGTCCATCAGTACGATATCAGGCTTGTTCGCAGGAACAGTCCTGTCCGTAATGACGGACCGGTCCCAGTATAATCGAGCGCGGTCATTTTCAAGAACTGGCTCCGGCACATACTTATAGTACGGCACCTTTTCGCCTATGAGGCCGTATTTGAAGGCTAGCTCGAGATGGAGTATTTTGGCTGCTTGGTCATGTCTGTGCAAATACTCGGTATTAGCCAGTACAGGACAACCGGAAGTAATATGCCTGAGTGACTCACCGGGCTGGTGACAGGCTCTACAAACATCCTCTGTCCCATCCTTCAGGATATACTTCCGGTAGTTTCGGGTCATAATGACCTGGTCCTGTATTGCACAGACAAAACCTTCGGTTTCCCCAAAGAGGTCCCCGAAGCGCAGCCAATGCACGGAGGTTCTCGGATCCACATGACGCTCGTGTAGCGCCTTGTAGAACCTACCGTGCAACTCCTTCTCCCTCCAAATGGCCTCTCGGTCAGTGGTGCTAAGTACTGCCGGTTCTCGCCATTGCTCGGTGGCCAAAGAGAGAGGGGTTAGTCCTACATCACATGCTTTGACATCTCTATGCAACTCACTGGATTCCGATTTCGCCAGGAAGTAGTTACGGAGACTGTGTATCTCGCGGTTGTGCAGGGTTTTCGCACTGAGCAGCCCACGACCGCCGCTCTTCCTCGGGATATACAGCCTCATCACTGACGATCTCGGGTGGTGCATCCTATGGAGTGTCAAAGTTGTGCGGACTTTCCGATCCAGGGCGTCCAATTCGGTCTGAGTCCATCTGAGTATGCCAAAGGTGTACATTAGGACTGGCATGACCCAACCGTTGATGGCCCTGACTTTGTTGACGCCTGATAGGTAGCTTTCAAGCACCTTAGTCAGGCGTCCCAAAAAGGCCTCCTTAACGGATTGTTTCACGTCCGCCATATGCACACCCAGATTCTGTGACATACCCAGATACCGGTATGTATCAGTTTCGGAGAGGGTACGGATGGTGGATCCATCCGGTAGGTCCACTTGGTTGGAATCACTTATCCGACCTCTATCCACATGGATAACCGCACACTTGTCCAGCCCAAACTCCATGCTGATGGAGCTACTGAAATCCTTTGTGATTTTCAGCAGCTCCGCCAGCCTCTGAGCATTTGGGCAAGCAACTTGAGATCATCCATGTAGAAGAGGTGTGATATTTTGAACAATCCTCTCTTCAACTGAAAACCTGTCCCTGGTTTATCCAGCAAAGTGCTAAGCGGATTTAGGGACAGGCAAAACCAAAGTGGACTCAGACAATCGCCCTGGAATATACCCCTCTCAATCTTTATTCGGTCTTCCGCATCCGACAGCTGCACCCCGAACAGACTAAGCTGCGTACTCCACTGCCCCATACAGGTCTCGAGGAAGTTTCGAACTGTACATCGATCTTGTACAGACGGAATAGATAAGAGATACGAAATAGTAATTCGATCCTATTCTGTGCGTCGCTTTAATCTCTCTGCTGTTTTTTATCAACGTTTCTTTACATGTATAAACGTGCATGAAGCGGTACAGAATGTTTTTGGTTGGATATTGGTGCATTTTTTGTCCCATATTTGAACTAAGTGCAAAAATAAATGCACTCGTTTTGCAAATGTTACGAATTCGTGGCAGTATAAGACTCGTAGACTGTATCTGTAATCTACAGATAAAATAGAAAGTTTACTCAAGAAGAGTTGATAGAATGTCGGGTGAAACTCGTATAAAAAGCGAAAGTGTTAGAATGTTGAAACAGGACAGACTGTAAAATGTTGGAGGGAGATTGCCCAGTAGCTCATTTCACTTGTAACTGTGCAGTGCGGGTGGCTGACACCCATTCCACTCATTGCACGACTTCAACTGTATGGGAGATTTCCACCTAGTGAATAGTTGGAAAGCCCCGAACTAAATGGCATTCTAGTTCATAGTCAAGTTTTGCGAGTTTGAAACGGTACGACTTTATCTGCTGTTTTTTTTTATTGCGTTGACGTAGAAGTTTGATTTTGATACAGCTTAAGAGTATTATAGACCTGAGTATTTGATATGAATTACAATTTCATAACCCTACGCGTTCATGAGAGGTAGTAACTATGATTGTTATTATATGATGTAACTAATAATTTAAGGATTTCGCAATTTTTACTTTATCTGTGCTATAAGACGTTGCTTTGTACCAAATTCTAAGATTCTGAGTTTACGGAAAGTAGCCTGTAGGTTTGGATTCGCTTGCGAGTTTCAAAATATTGCGGCATAAACAGCTGTATCTTTTACGATTACGTTGGCTTACAAGTTTGATAGCTCCAAGGGTCAGTAGACCTGAATATTTGATATAAATTTCAGCTTGATACCTCCACACATTCCTCAGAAAAAAGGTCTGGACAGACATCGGACGGACAACAAAGTGATCCTATAAGGGTTCCGTTTTTTCTTTTCAAGGTACTTAATCCTAAAAAGGATGTAGAAACCAAGGGAGGTCACGATACCTACGACTTTCATTATCAAATCTATGATCCACCTGACCATCAATTTGAAACCGACGACCGTCGACCATGCATAAAAAGAGACATAAATGAACCTTTAAAAACTTATGTAAAGACTCTGCCTTTCTGCTTACCAGGACGGGTTCAGAGTAGGTAGATAGTTTTCTAAGTATTTCTCGCTTTCGTGTTTTACCTGGAAATGTTATTTTAAACTCCAAACAACGGAAATCGCAGGAAGGAGTACTTTTAAAATAATGATTAAATAGATCCACTCACTACACCGAGTAATTTCCAATTAATAATGGCCCATCAGCTTTATGCTGTCCCACCCTTTCCAAATAGAACTCCAATCTTTTTTTTCAGGAATTGAAACGGTCCCAGAGGTTTTATTACTTCTTTATCTTGGCCCGATTACTGAGGCAGATTTATTTCTTTTTTACGACTCTCACTCATAAGAGATCCCCTTGTTACTAAAAGGAAGCCACTTCTGCTGATTTTTAGTTAATTATCCTTTTTCCTAATTTTCGATATTTGTTTATTGTATACTAATATTATAAAGAGGAATGATTTTTTCTGTTTGCATTGAATAAGTTCCGACGCTACAGAACCTATTATAAAAATTATTTCTGCCGACTGTACAAATTTAGTTTTAACTAAGATAATAGGGGAAGAAGTTTCATATTTTACTTTACAAGAGTCTAATATACTATTTTTTTACATACTATGATAACGAAAAATTAATCAAAAAAAAACATTTTAGTTTAGTTTAGAGGATGGTTGAAAGGAAATAGCAGCAATAACATGTGTTACAAAAACATTCTTGAATTCGATATCGAGTGCTGTTAGAACATTGATGTTCAATAAAATAAAACCTACTGCAAAAGGTAATACAAAAGATTTATTTTCAACATTGACTTCGAGGATGGTTTTACCCGACTGCAAGACAAGGATGATTCCGTTTTTAACAGGACAGCATAGCTGTACCGATTCATAATTTAGTCCTCAAACTATCTTATGTATATACCCCTTTTTTAACGGAGGGGAAAGGCAACCTTAAGCGTTAAACCAGGGCTCTCTAGCCCCGTTTTCGTCCTGAAAAGGACAGGCTTCTTGGTAAATCCCGCTGCGGGGACAACAAATCATACAAAACTCACCTTTGTATTGAGCAAAGAATGTCAGTCGGTCTGAACACAAGGGCGAAGGTGACCAGGTAACACATGAGAATACCGGCGAGCAGGACGTAAGACAGCTCCCTCCCACTCGCACGCACCACTGGCGTTGAACTATGTCGCACCCAAACACCGCACACAAATCTAAAAAAAAAACAAATTAAACATTACAAATTAATTGAATCCGATTATTATAAAAATTAGACAATTTTTAACATTTTGAGCAAAGAAATGATGTCCAAAATGCTTAAAAAGACGAGGAAACTAAATTAAAGTCAATTTGTCGAGTAACACCACATTTTGAGTGGCTTAGGATAAACACTATTTAATACCCTATCTGTATACCAAATATCATCAAAATCCGTTCAGTAGTTTCGGCGTTATTGACGGACAAACATCCAAACGAAGAAATTTTCACATTTATAATATTAATAGGATTACGATACACATACTAGCCTCTATAGTCGAGGGTTACAATTGATAAATTTTCCCAATAATTCTGTTTCATTGACTGGCCTTCTTTTTTTGTCCCGTTTTGTCTTTGTGTTATACGCAGTTATAACATCGATTTGCTGTAATCATATTCATTTTTGATAGTTTCAACAATGGCTGAACTGATTGTGGACATTTAACAAACTATTAGGTACAATCTGCACTCGAAATATTGCTGGAGCAGTTATAAGTGAACACAAAAAGCTAACAAAACATATGATACAATATTAATTGCTAAATGATATTGAATTACTTTACAATTTAATACTGAGCGGTCACCAAATGTGTTTCTTTCCGTTAGCAGTGTCGACAAAGTGTATGTAACTCACGCTGTAAGCAGTATCCCGACGGAAGAGAAGGACATGGCGCCGATGGCCCAGGCGGAGTCGGGGCGCAGGTACGCCTCGGGGATGGGCCGGCAGTGCGTGCGCGTGGCGTCCGGGAGCGCGCCCCGCGGGCACACCATGCACGCCGTCTCCACGAACGGCGACCGGATCTGCGGATGCCGAAGCAGGGGATTATAAATAAATAAATACGTCTATCCTAGATGTCTAACATATCTTTTGATTTCCTATGAGCTTGCCTGTTTTATGACTTCTAACGTCACTCGGTATGCCTTACTGGATTGTAAGATCGACGAAGAAAATCCTTGCACTTATGCTCACCAAAAATATGGTCAGTTTTTATTTTCATTATCTACAGGTCAACTTTCTCCATTACGGGTGCCGTCTGGGAGAGTGTGATTTGTGGAGTAACACACATTGATATTTAATTTATTTCATGTCGATTTCAGCAAGATGTTAGAAATCTTAAAAGATAGCCAATTGGTTAAAGTATTAAAAATGTATTATGACAGCTTAAGTTTTGTCCACTGACGCACACTGCGTTAGCTTCCTGTATTAGATCAAACGGACCATTAAGACCCAGTCGCGCATAAGCAGTTTATTATTATCATTTTGATCAGTCCTGTATCTGTATCGATTACAGATCGTAACAGGGAGTTTTAGAGTTTCATTTAAAACCCCGCATATTGATATTCCCCACTACAATATTTATTATGTTTTATTTCTAATCCTACCAATAACCATAGTTTATTTTATAACGCATTCATTGCTGCTTTACAGTAACAATATTACATTGCCTGCACCTATTGTTCCAGTAAATGTAGATCTGTCCTATTCCATATTCTGCAAAAAATATTATAGATATAGAGGTGTGAACTAGGTTTTAAAAATATAATTTAATGACATGTTTGGAGGCATTTAATGATGTTGTATCAATTACAGTGTAAACTACGTGTTACAATTCAGTTTGCTACCTCGTACTGCGTGCAGTTGAAGCAATGCCAACAGCAGCTTTCACCTTCCACGTACTGTTTAGCCTGTCCCAGCTCACACTCTGCGCTGCAGACAGACTCTGGCGGACGTCGCTCATACCATTTGAACTGAATATCTGAATCAAAGAAAATTAATTCTAGTAAGGGAGTGAAATCTTACTTCTCTATCAGAAGCTTGCTATTCCAAGATTTAGACAAAAAGCCCTTTTTGTTAGTCAATCTTAATATTGCCCCCACAAGGCCCAATAAGATGGGCCTATATCACCTTGCATTATTATAAAGTCAAAGATTACTGAAAAAATTATTGTATAAACCAGTCTGTGATTTATTTAGTTATAATTTTAATTCTTTTGTATTCGGTACATTTATATTTTTGCTGATGACAAAAGCTGATAATTTTCTGGGGCTCTTCTTTCAGTAAAAAGACTAATAGACTTGGTGTTGGGTGAAAAATGTAAGACGATTAAAGTTCTTTCAATATTTTTCGGATTGCGAATTTGATTGGCGTTAATTTTTATCCCGAACCTAATTTCGTAAGAATAATATAAATGTGTAAAATTTCTAACTTTTTTTGTAGGGGATAAACTTCGGAAATACTGATCTGATCATAAAAAGTCTTTCACCTACGGAAACGTGCACCATACATGGGTGACATAAGCTAATTAAGAGGGGGTAATCTAAGAGGGAGAATTCGCAGGAAATATTTTTTTTTATGGGATAGGGGTCAGACGAGCAGACGGATCACCTGATGGTAAGTGATTACCGTCGCCCATGGACACCTGCAACACCAGAGGGGCTACAAGCGCGTTGCCGGCCTTGGAGGAAAGGGTTGAGGGGTAGAGGGAAAGGAGTTGGGCCTCCGGTACCCTCACTCACACTACGAAACACAACGCAAGCGTTGCTTCACGTCGGTTTTCTGTGAGGCCGTGGTATCACTCCGGTCGAGCCGACCCATTCATGCCGAAGCGTGGCTCTCCCACGGTTAGGTTAAGTTTATATGATTCTTTGACATTCAGTTAACAAAATTATTAAATGCGTAGTAGAGTGAGTTAACTTTCCCTTATTAATGTATTTTAAGAATTATATAAAAATGAATTCTGCAGATTTTCTGCATAAAAAATTTAATAACACCTAATTTCACAAAACACATGCTTTTATATATGACTATGTCATATGAAGTCTTCTTTGTCCCAAATAAATAGATATTATTACTTACTATCTAAATCCAATTGCAGTTCCCCGTCCAAGTACTGGCCAACATTAACCCATCTATAGACGTTCTGTTGGACCTGTTTGAAGTGTAATATGTTGTATCTCGCAGGGCCATCACCGTTGCTGTCGAAATGGAACTCATCGCCGCTCAGTCCTTAACAAAAATAAATAAAAAATAGCTTAATTTTAATTGGAATTGGAGCTCGATGGCGCAGTAGTTAGCACGTTCGCTTTGTGTTGTGAAAGTCAAGTAATATTATCGAGGCGAGTTATAGGATGGGTGATCAAAAATAAATTAACTCGATTAGCACGTTAAGCCATGGGTTCTGACAGTGTCTGCTGTCTGCTGTGTGTTAAGGGCGGTGGTACGACCACACTCGTGGTGGTGGTGCGTCGAAAGGGGCGCAAAGACGGGGACGACGGAGCCGGTGACCGATCTGATAGCGCTCTTTAAAGAGCTGCGGTCTGGCTAGACACCGTGTGAAGCCATGGTCGTTAGGGGGAAGGGATCCATGATCTATGAGGGAGAGAGGCCAGATGGATCCTTCCAACGAGATGAGGTAGGGTGGGAGATTGCACAATTGCGCATCCGTGCGGGTTAATGGCCTCTTTGGGGCTGTTACCATGCATCTTCTTCGTAGCGAAGGATATCGGTGGTTGTCAGTGGGTATGCCTCTGCTCTTTGACTAGCTTCACAAAAAAAGGTTAGGTTAAATTTACATTATTTGCACTCACCGGTAAAGTTAACCTTTCTCAGATATCTGAGCAAGTCGGAACCGCTGGCTGGTTTCATAGCGTCACAGAGGCCCGGCCTACCACCGCATACTGCTGCATGCATATCACTGTAAACAAAAAAAAGTCCTTGAAAAAATAGAGCTAAATAAGTTCAAAGTGTCGTAAAAAAATATGGTACTGGGCTTCAATTTTGCTATTTTTTACTTATAATCTCAATACCATCTCATCAACTTGCATTTTTCCCATAATACTTTCTACCCGAATTCCAATATTATTAGTGCAATATCTTTTATAGGAATCAACGTTGATAATATATTTATTACTTTGTGTTCTAGTAACAAGAACAGCTGTGTCAAAGGTGACGTTAAAGCGCGGTTGACAAATTAGCAGAATTACCTAAAGATTGTTTTAAAAACCTGTTGAAAGTCGAGAAAGATCAAAAAAACTTGAGGAAATCGATATATACCTTATTGTTGTAGATAAAAGCATATTCTCCACGAGTATATCTAATGCGAAAACTACAGAAGAAGGTTCAAGTGTCTGACTGGACGTAACACATTTTGTTATAAATAGCAACTTGTTTCTTTGTTGGTTCTTTTAGACGAACACTATTAACTACTTATAGCAGTCACTATTTGTCGATAGTATTAGAGCATCCCTATCTATTAGTTAGCTGTCAACGTCACTTTGACATTAGCGTTGGATGAAATTCGCGCAGCCGGGTGGTAGGTTATTGTAAACTATTTGAAGTACCTTTATAGCCTATTTATACTGGTCGATGACATTCACGTGCGGTTTGGGTCGATTTCTATTCTTCGCTTTCATTGACCAGTCATTGTTTTATTTGCCAATGAGATCAACGTTCAGAGTTCGCCCAGATTTCACGTGCTGACCCCATCGCCCAGTGTAAATGAGCCGTTAAATATAATTTATTAAATATGTATATCAACTGGAAAGAAAAAGTAAAAAAAAAACCAAGTAAGTAAAGCGGTGTCTTAATTATGATGAAGAACTTTTATTTTATTACTTTTTGATACAAAAATCAATAATGTTAAATTATATTACACGCTTAAGTAATTATTTATTCTATACAACAGTGCCGACGTCATACCGCACGTAATTATATTGAGCAAGAGATTCTCGAAAAATAACAAATGAAAAAATATAATTTTCAAATAAGAGAACTCAATTCACCACTAATGAGATTTGTCTGATGGAAAACGAAATTATTTAAATTTAGACCTGATTTGATAAACATTTTCTACAAAAAAATATGTGTAGGATAATATAAAAAATAAATAGGTAGGTATTACGATCGAAACAACAGTTTCATTGTGTTGGTGATTCATAATAAAAGATGTTGTTAAGTTAAATAAAATGAATAGAAACTTGTTTTAGTTAAAGGACTTTATTATGTATTTAAACTCTCCTCCATTTTATTTTGTACGCTGTCTTCAATATGTTTTCAATTTTAGATTTAGAATATTAGTTTCATTAGTGCTGTATTCTACTAGTCAAACAATTTCATTTGATGCCCATTGAAAATTTTGATGATTTGATGATACAATAACCATCCAACCAATTGTATTATTCAGTTGACTACATGCGATATATTTATAGATTTACGTGATATATAGAGTACAGGATGTTTTTTTCTGCGACTTCACCCGTGTCAATTTTAGCTTATGTCACCCATGTATGATGTTCTTCCCGTAGGTGAACGAATTTTCATGATTGGTTCAGTATTTTACAGATATGCCCCTACAAATAAACAAATGTTATATTTTTTACCTCTTTATAATATTAGTATAGATTATACTTATTAATAATAATGAAGACTAGTCGACCAATCAAATTATTAAGATTATTAAATACCCGACAATATGATTTATTATGAAATTTCTATAATAACGCACCAAAACATAATCAAGTACATATTGTGAACATATTCGCAGAAAATGATAGATAAGCATTTCGCTACACATACAACTTGTTATCTATACTTTTAGTCTAGACGTTTCTACGCTATCAAAGACTTTTGAATATTATCAGTTTTATTAGTTTCTTAAGGCGTAAGGAACAGTTGCAGAATAATCAATACGCATTTTATTTGAATAAGATTATGGGCCAAAATACATTATTTTAAAATTTTACTTCGGTATGGCATTGAAGATAAACAACAATTTGTTGGCATGTTGATAAAAGTAGTGTTTAAAAGTTTGTGGGAGACTCCTTAGTGGAAATTTGAGTTTGTTTAACTTTAGAATAAACTTAAATTATCCTTGGGATAAACTAATTACTACTTAAGTTGAAACGTAATGTAATGAGGAGGTATTAGGCTGCGTATTTAAAAAAAAATATAGAGGTAGTGAGAACATTTTTATACAAATAAACTTATTTATTTTGAATCGTCAAACTTTTTTTACTCTGGCGTTCACTCAGTTATCCGCATTATTCATTCCGATTTACTTTAGGATATAATTGAAGTAAATTGACTTTAATAAATAAGTCGTCATCTATTTTAGCTCTTCGTTTTTCTTTTAATACCTAAGTTTCATAAATTATTTTTTTATAATCGTAAACTTCATTTAGTGAAGTGAACGAAAGTAAAGTGAACTTTGGTCTATTGTGATTATTAAGAATTCTGGAATAGTGAAATTAAAGGCTGCTGGTTCCGTGGAGAATCGGTATATTTGACAAGACATGCAGAAAAACAATGACTTCTATCAAAAGAAAAACAAAATATAAAAAACTTTAAAAACATAAATAATATCAAAAAGTTTGTGCTTCAGCACAGTTCTGTTTCCGTTTACAATCAAAAACTGACAGAAATATACAAGAAACATGTCAGACATACTGTCAATTACCATCAACCATTATGCCATTAGAGAATGTGGCACAATTATTGCGCTACCCAGCAGTTATCTCGTTCTACGCGAAATAGAAGCTGAATACCAGCCTGGGATACCAGCAATTAGAAGCTGAATGACGATTTTTTGAATTAAAATATATGCTTTATAGACACAATTTTCTGACTGTATCTACTTAGGGATCGTCTGTTAATATAATCAAATATCTACGCTCGATTATTATCAATTCATTTGTTTGATTATTGTATATTGATATTTCGATATCTTTTATTCAACAAAAAAAATCCCTGTGCCCATTTCCAATGTCGTCCTATTTCGATATTCCGCGTATTTATAAGTCGGTTTTATTAAAAATAAGTTTTATTGGCAGTTTATTTCTATAATTGTATCATTGTTGGTAAGAATAATATAATACTTTGTAGTAGTTAAGAATAACTATGAATAACTAACGTGTAAGTACAAATTAGTTAAGAATAACTAACGTGTAAGTTGTACACGTTTTTATTGTTCACTAAGTAGGTAAGCAATAAAACTATTAAAATTAGGTCAGAAAATATGTTATCGTTAGTACATAGATTAGAATTTATATACCTATACACACGTGCATCATTTTATAAGAAATCAGTCATATGACATGTTAACAAGAGATTATTAGTATATTAAAACCTTTTTTTGGGTGAAGGATTTTGTTTTATGACGTTTATTTGATATAAAATCTTTGTTTAGTTCTTTAGATCAATCATTTTTATCTTCCCGTCAATGCTGGAGGCATAGATACAGTAAACAGCTCACTAGACAACATAAAACTGTTTAATTCATCCACTTATTTTTGAATCTTAGAGTTTAAGAGTACAGCTAAAAATTCTGATAACCTGACTTACAACCGTGTGTACATTTAGATAGTGAATAAAAGACAAAAACAACAAATAATATCGCACACCTTCAAACACAAATGAGGTTGCATAAATTATTGTAAAATACGTTGTTTTGGTGTCCTATTAGCGTTTCGGAAATCGACGTATTCGTTTTCATAGAAACAAAATTGGCTTCGGTAAATCCTGCTTAAAAGATCTGTTACGAAGAATATATATCATAGCTGTCTAGTATTTCACATATTTACGATTGGTAAACATGGCCGGTAGCTTCATAATTTTTTAGTGGGCAATTAAAGTTTGATTGGACTCTTAATGGCGAAGAGACAAACTCGTTATATATTCAAGGGATCCTCGTAAAGTTACCTAATTTCGGGTAACATTCGCGAGTGGTCCTGTGGGAGTAATGAAATCGAAAGGAGAGCTACAAAGGTGATTGTCTTTGACTTAATCGTCTTAATTACTTTATATTAATAAATTCTTTTTACGTAGGTACGTCGTATTTAAATAAACGGATTTTTTCAATTCTAAGATATATGATGGTTTGAATTTACACATTTTCAAATGTAAGTGATTGAATGGAACATTATGAAAAGATATCTATTTGTCTATTATATATTGTATAATAGATAAACTATCGTAACTC